CCTCTAATCCAATAGAACAATAAATTTACGTAATATACATATAAATAGTAACAAAAATTTCAAACTTTCCATGTATATTTTTAATATCAAATAAAATGAGCACCATACTATTGTCTTTAAATCTCATCCTTAATAAACTCCACTCAGTAGACTACTAGCATTAACAAATATATTTCCCCTTAGAAATTTCTAGCTCCTTGCAAAGAAAATAGTTATTACAAAAAATCTTTAGACCTCTATTCCAATACATGTTTTACAGCTGAGAACTGCCTCATCAACATACAATCTGAATATGAGTATACACACATATGAATACATATACATATGTATATACACACATAAATATATTTATATATTTTCCCCTAAGGGAAAAGCCGACACCACATAATTCCTCAAAATATATGCCCAATTACACCATGTCTTTGGAATTACCCAGGAATATTTTTAAAGTTTTCTAACTAATTAGCAACACAAAAGGACTGCTGAATACAAAGCAACCATTAAAAAAAAAAAAAAAAAAACAGACAAAGGATACAGCCTTAAAGCACCAGTCTGAGTTCCCACTGCCAGGATCTTCTGTACAGGATCAAAGGCCAGGGCTGAAGGTTGATAGGGAAATCCATGGCGAACAGTCTAGGGTTGGGCAAGTGTCATCACAGCAACCAAGGTAGCAAAGGATATTTAAAAACAGAAATGTCAATACAGGCATTAGAATTTAGAAGTATACCTGATGCAAAACATACACACATAGGTGCTACTTTAAAAAAAAAAAGTGAACTCTACATTAGTTATTAACACAGAACCTGAAATAAACAAAAATCTATTGCAGAGTAATACTTCAGTCTTTGCTTTTCCATACTACTGGCATTCTACAGAAGAAAATTTCCTATTAATGTTCTATACTGCTATGTCTGACACCAAATTACTAACATTTTCAGTAGTCAAAAATTCTGTTAATTGATTTTAAAATGTGACTCATGCTTTGTTTCAAGAATTATTGTCATCATTTAACATTACTTGAATGCTAAATGCAAGTACTTCAAGGAAAAGTTGTCATATAATTCATTATTTTGGTCAAGGTATTGGGTAAAGCAATTATCAAGCCTGTACCAAACATTTTGCAATTGTAACAGAATGGATATGAATACAACAAATGTTTTTGCAATTTACTATCAAGTCCATAATAATTTTAGAGTATTAAGGCAAAAAGTTATGTATATACAGACTTTTAAGAAACTCTGACCTATGAACACATGGATATTTATGAGGAAGGCTGACATTAATAACAAAACACCACGTTTGTATTTCTCATTGAACAGCTGGTGAATTAATTCGCTGCATCATTCTTTCTGAATTACAAAACGCTATAGCAATTATCTTGCCATTAGCAGGCAAAAATCTCAGTACTAACTTTTAAACCTAACATAATGATAAAGAACCATGCGATTTCATAAAGTAGGCCACTCAGACACGTTGTAAGAAAAAAGTGATGAGCAAAGACCTGGTTGAACAGGTTTGGCTTTCTGAAAAACAATATTCACTAGATAGACACTGTTTTTAAAGGAAATCCCGAAATTGATGAATTTCATTAAAATGTTATAATATAAAAGCTTCCAGATTATTGCTAGCAGTGTCAGGATATGGATCAAAGGGAAGATCATATGTTTGAAGAGCCTTGAAATGATTATTGCTTCTTGTTAGAAAAGAAAAACACCAACGAAAAGTGGGATATCAGTCTTCAAAATAACCTACCAAGGAAACGTTTGCTAGGGGAGAAACGAGCTCTTTATGAGAACTACAATTATTATTGGCGCTCGTTTCTCTTGCACTACTGTGTAAATCCCGAATCGCCCCCTAAAACGACCCCA